TTTCTTGTTTTTTAACAATAAACAAAAATAAATAACACAAATATCTAAAAGTAACAAAACCAAAGACATTACATTCTTTCTGCATTCAAAAACAAAAAAAAAATAGCAAAAGATAGTAATATAACGGCATTTTAGGCTTTTATGATTCAAGAAACACGCCGTCAAGTGTGGTAGTGCAACAGGATTTTTTTTTCTTTGTAAACCAGCAATGCTGTGTAGTGTAAGCCAACATTAGAAACAATCCTTCAAACAATATAAAACACTAGGGACTGTAAAACATTTCGGCAACATCTCTTACATGTGAAATGGTGCAACAGCACGAGTGCTTCCTGAACATGAGAACCCTGGTGGTATGCTGCAAAGCATTCTTGGTTTGCGTTCAAGCACAGGAAAACATTGCATTTTTGACATTTCCATCTTGACACACCCTTCGGACAGTAGTTGCACCGCCCCCGCTTGTCACAGTGTAGTGGCCAATGTCCCAAGCGGTCATATCGCACATCTGGTTGCGGTTTTGGGAGTGAGGGTCTTGGGGTGTAGTGTTTCTTTGGTGGTGGTGGAGAGCTGGATGATGGTCGACCAACTTTTGATGCAGGCTTGTTGACCTGGTTCAAACTATGGGCAACTGCCAGGCGGAACCGTTTGAGAGGCATTGCTTTCTCATTTAGTAGGCCACAGTCCCTCTTGTAGTCCAGCCAGGAGTTTGCAATGGACAGATCAAGGATGTATCCAAAGAGGGGAATGTACCATCTCCTTGACTTGGCTGGGGTCCTGTACAAGTGTACCAGCATGTCAGAAAGATCAATCCCACCCATATGCTCATTGTAAGCAGGGATGAGTGATGGACATGGGACAGTAATCTTTTCCTTGGACACTTTGCACCACCGTTTGACAGCTGAAAGATGCATGATCCAACTAGCATTGCTCAAAAGGTTGACACATTTGTTGTCAAACCATTTTACTGCAATCACCCCTTCAGCAGACCTGTAGTCATAAGACCCACGCCCTCTCTTAATCAGCTCTTTATCTGTCATCAAAGGAGCTCCACCAGTGCGGTTTGGTCGGACGGTGCCGATGCACTGGACACCCAAGGAGGTTTGCAGGGTCTGGACCAATTTAAAGCTTGTAAAAAAGTTGTCAAAGAAGACAACAGAAAGATGTGGTTGTTGTATAGTTTTGCATAGTGTTGTCACCACTTTGGCTCCTAAAGGTAGCATCTGCTCCTCCTCACTGAGGGTGACATTGAAGAATGTGGATGCCCCTTGATACATCAGCAGGTCATGGATGATGCCAGATGAGCTGGCTCTGCAGAAGACTTTAAAACCCCACTTGTCTGGTTTATTGGCAATATATTGGCGGAGGGAGCCAGCTCTTGTGCCTTTATATCCTACCATGACCTCATCCACACTGTGCTTGTAAGTAGATGGTATCAGGAGACACTGCTTGCGAAGCATGTCAAAGAGTGGACGGATTTTGTAAAATCGATCTGGATTCTCACTGCACTGCTGATTCATTGAAATGAATATAACGGCGTAACAGCTGGAATCTCTTCCTTGGCATGATATCAGCTATCACACTGAAGCGTGACTCATTGTGCCAGTAATCCTCCAGCGATGGAAATTTGAAAACACCCACAAAGAGTAGCATGGAAAGAAAATCTTCAATCTCTTCTGGGCTGGTCTTGATTGGATCCCCCAGCTCCTGGGCAGAGTACAGGTTGGTATGATGAGCAACATGCTGAATCATCTCATCAGTGAAGAACATTTTGAAGTATTGGAAGGGTGGCTGTACAACCACAGGGGTTTCAAATCTTGATTCTGTGACCTGGAATTCCTCAATGTCTTCATGCTTCCAGATTCTTCTTGTGCCATTGTGTGGGCCTGAGGGGGAACTTGAGCCAGGGGTATCCTCTGGCTCCTTCAAGGAAACTGTTTTTAGAGTGTGTTTTCCTTTTCTTCTTTTCTTACATGGAAGCTTTTTAAAGGATGTGCTTGTTGAGGGAGCATCATCTTCATCCAGGGACTCAAAAGAACTGTCACCAGCTACCTCTTCTCGGACGGGGTGATAATCCGGATCCTCTATTGGGTCATCAACATCACCGAGATCAGCATCAGAGTCTTGGGGGTTTTCTGATACAGGGGCCTGAAGAGTGTGCATTCTTGTACAATAGAAACGGTTGACATCCATCTAGTAATTGTAAAAAAAAACAACAACAAACAAATAAATAACAATCTCTTACAATTTTAGTAACGTTAGTACACAAGCATTTGTCATTTAAGAAACTCAAAATGTGCTCAACCATTTGGTCGAGCAGGCCGTTAAAGGGTTAATAGCAGGGTGTAAACCTGCTATTTAAAAAAAAAAAAAAATCTACAGTAAACATTAGCGACATTGCAATTCTGCGATGCAAGAGGAGGATCCTGAAGAGGAGGTCGGCCTCCTTGGGTGCTGTCCGAGTGGGTCAGGTGACCAGAAAGCTCCTCTCCTCTCTCGGAGACGAAGAGAATGATGCCCCGCAAAGGAGGCCTTAGAGGCTCCTGTGCAGCCCTCCTCACCCGGTGAGCCCTCCGGTGAATAAGCTGGGTCACAGAGAAGCCCGTGACCAGTGGCGAGAAGCCCTCCATCAGTGTTGAGAAGCCCTCCACCTCTTGGTAGCCGCGTTCCTGTGTTTCCGCTGGAAAAAGCACCCCCAGATCCCAGTCATGTGTCTGTGCTGAGTGAGTCTGACACTTCTTTTGCCGTTATTTTTTTTTTCTTTTGCAAAATGCTGTCTTTGCTCTTCTTCTTTTCTTTTTGTGTGCAGACGAGATCATGGAGGAATACAGGCGCCACCTGGAAGGCCCAGACCCCAGCTCCAAGCTGAAGGAAAACGTTGGCGGTCAGATCTACCTGTAACGAGACGTCAACAGAGTGAGGATCCATCTGCAGCTTTATTGAAATCGTAATCAAACAGGCAAGGTCAGACACCAGCAAACACAACAGAGGAGAGAAGCCAAATCGTTAGTCAGGGACGTGCAAAAGGGTCGGGTTACCGAGTGGAAAATCGCAGTGGACCTTGGGATCGCGCTTTATAATGACGTCAGCACCACTGATTGATTGATTGATTTATTAATAAATAAATAAATAAATAATCAATCAATCAATAAACAAACAAATACATAAATAGATAAATAAATAATAGGTTGATTGCATCGCATTGATCTGATTAATCATTGTTTAACACACATTAATCACAGCACATTAAATACGTTTATCATCATCAACAAGCCTCCGACAAAAATACCAGCATTAGTAAACACTAAAAAGTGCATCACACTTAGTAAAATCAAATTTCAGACTTTTTAAGACCATTTTTATATCCGAACAAAGTAAAATTAATACCATTTTTGCACAGTAGAACAAACAGTCATTAACACAGTTTGAACATGTCACAAATTTTATTCAATAAAATTAACATCAAAACAGATACATCTCAGCATTACATTTCTTGTAGCTCAGAAACCTTCCTCTCAGCTCCTCTCTCTTCTGCTTGTAGCAGATAACTCCACATTTCATGTTTTAGAGTTTAAAACACACTGGTTTAATCTTTGTAATCTCCTCAGATGATAATGTAGACGCCTGACAAACGTTGTTGTTGTGATCATAAACCGTATGGATGTGATTACACGCAATACACAGAGCTTTTCCCTCACCATTGTAACACGCTGCTTTTGCAAGGTTCCGTGAAAACGTTTCAGCTTTTATTTTCCTTTTTAACGTTGTTGTTGTTGTGATCATAAACTGTATGGATGTGATTACACGGAGCTTTTCCCTCTCCATTGTAACGCGCTGCTTTTAGAAGCTTTCCTGAAAACCTTTCAGCTTTTATTTTCCTTTTTCTCCCTGAAGAAGATATCACAGGTTCATCAAGTTCGTCGAAATGATCCTCGATCACTTTTAGTCAGCTTTGAGAAACTCCTCTCAGCTAGCGCGTCTCTTCAGAGTGAAAGTAGCCTTGTCAAAAATCCTGAACACTGTTTAACGGTTTAACTCCACAATTCAGTACTACATACTTCAGAGTATTTGTAATGTGTTTCTGTAATACATTTCTAACATTTATAATGTGTTTAGAAACAATTCTCAGAATTCTCTTTACACGGACTGTAAGCACCTTCTCAAACAGTTCTGAAGCATGCTTTTAGTTTATGTTTGCTGACAGACAGCAGTTTCCCACAGACTGCAGATTCATTCTCCGCCAGCAGGAGGCGCTGCTGGAGCGGGAGATATAGCGGTTTCCCCGGTAACGGCTGTATCAGCACTGTGCTCACAAACGCTACTTTATCAGGCATTACAGGAAAGAAAAAATAAAAATGACATCGAAGCTTTTCTGAAGACGGTCAGTTCTTTTCAAAGATACATTCATATAAAAACACCCGCGCTACATTTTCATTTTGAAACATGCAGTGTGTTTATTCAAGGAAGTATAAGACTTTTTGCGGTCAGTTTTGATACAGTGACGAGCCGCCACAAATAACTGAATGTATGGGAAGCACTGGACACTGCTATAAGTCAAATGGCCAAGTGCTAACAACAATAAGAGTTCACACATATTTCACAGCTTGCTGAGTGCACTGCCACGAGCGATGACATGGTGGAGGATATTGTCGGCCCCTCAGACACATTTACTGCACAGACACAGCACTGATATCAAGCCCCTTTCACCCAGTTGTAAGTATTTAGTTATTTTAAATCTTTTATAATATGAAGATCAGGAAACTGGAATTTATCCCCTATTGAGAATATCACAAATCACTTCACACTTGCTTACATTTAGATATAAGCCAAAAGCTTTTGAAAAAATGTATATATATATATATCAGTGGTATTGATAGCTCTGGGAATCTGTGATTTATCCTTTGAATCAATCCTTTATCTTATCATTTGAAGGTTTTATTTTTGTAGATGAATTTCTTTTATTTTTTACGGTCTGAACGGGACTTTTAGTTTGGTGAGGCGACGTGACGTCATAAGGCTGCTCCGCGCTCAAGCGTCTGCGATTCTGCTGAAGAAAGGTCTGTTTTACAACAAACAGAACAACAGAAAAGGTGCGTCTCATTTTCTATTTCAGATCAATTTTGTTCTTTTGAGCTTTCTATTTATCAAGGAAACCTGAAAAGTGTTGTACACTGATAATAATAGTTTGTGAGGCTGGGGAAGGCTTAGCTTTATTTCATCATAAATCAAAGGCTTGCCTGCATGTTAACAAATCCCCAGATTTTTGTAAAATAAGTTTGTGAAATAAATGTGTTATTTTGTAATTGTTGTATTGTCATATTTATTCTTAAAAAATATATTTTAGGTTTTTAGTCATGAAAAATTTGTTACATAGCAAAGTTTATTTTGCTTAATATATTTGTATAACATGATAAAAGCAGAAAATGTTGGGCCAAATTGTGCAGCCCTACAAAGAAGCACAACAAACCTGGGGCCGGATTCACGAAACATTCTTCTTAACTGCCATTTTCTTCTTATTTTTTTTCTTATAACATTTTGTATTCCCAACAATTCTTGTTGGTCTTTGTTTGTTCCCTATTTGATAAAAAAAAAAACACATTTTAACAAGAAGTATCACAATTAGATTTTTTTTTCTCCCAAAATCATGCAGCTCTACTCTGACTCTGACTCCCTTACTAGTGCGCTGACTACTGAACTATTATTCTCATCTCAAACACACAGAGAAACTCCTGCTGAAGCGACACTCGAGACACTGTTATAAAGATGGCGTTTATTAAAGAGGAGAGTGAAGACGTGAGGTTTGAAGAAGCTTTCAAACATGAAGATACTGAGGAACAACAAACAAAGATGGCGTTTATTACAGAGGAGAGTGAAGACGTGGAGAATGAAGTCAAACATGAAGATCCTGAGGAACAAACAGGTTGGTTTCATTCTCAAAGTCTTTCTTCAGTCATTCTGTGTCATGCATCTCTTTATCTGTTATTTGTCTCACAACAGAATTAATGACATGCAAATAATTTATTTAGGAAGAATTATAAGGAAATAGCCAAACGAAACATTAACCCTCTGGGGACTGAGGTGATTTGAGATGTTTTGACATGCCCTGACATCTGTGTCCCTGCAGCACAAAAGCAGTGTTAAGTCGCTGGGGTATATTTGTAGCAATAGCCAACAATACATTGTATGGGTCAAAATTATACATTTTTCTTTTATGCCAAAAATCATTAGGATATTAAAGGCACAATATGTAATTTTCGCCGCCAGAGGGCGCATATTCAAAATAAACAAAGAAGCAAAGGCGTAGTTTGATGACGGCGTGACTGAGTCTGGAATCATGGGAGTTGTGGTCTTCATCCCCACAGCCGATGCAATCCTACGGGACTCGGGCAGAAATCATGTTCATGGATGAGCTAATGATTTATTAACGTAGTAGAATGAAGCAGGGTGAGGCTGAGAGCCATCGAAGCGAAACGAGGCGCTGAACAAGCGCGGTTATTTGTCTGAATTAATGACATGCAAATAATTTATTTAGGAAGAATTATAAGGAAATAGCCAAACGAAACATTAACCCTCTGGGGACTGAGGTGATTTGAGATGTTTTGACATGCCCTGACATCTGTGTCCCTGCAGCACAAAAGCAGTGTTAAGTCGCTGGGGTATATTTGTAGCAATAGCCAACAATACATTGTATGGGTCAAAATTATACATTTTTCTTTTATGCCAAAAATCATTAGGATATTAAAGGCACAATATGTAATTTTCGCCGCCAGAGGGCGCATATTCAAAATAAACAAAGAAGCAAAGGCGTAGTTT